CGGCGACCCCCGCACCCGCCCGGCGACCCCCGCGTTCTCCAGTCACCCCCACTGCATCCCAGTTCTTCCCAGTCACCCCTGCTTCCCTCCCCGTAGCCTCTCCAGTTTCCCCGACTACACCCAGCTCCAGTCACCCCCACTGCATCCCAGTTCTTCCCAGTCACCCCTGCTTCCCTCCCCGTAGCCTCTCCAGTTTCCCCGACTACACCCAGCCCTCCCTGTTGCTCCTTCCCTCAACCCTCCGCCCAGCTACTTCCTCAGCATTTCCCTCACCCCCCTTCACCACTACTGCCCCAGCCACACCCTCCGTTGTCACCCTCCTTCCCCACTATTCTCTTGTCCTCACTGGTCACCCCTCTTCCTGCTACTCCCAGCATTCTGGGACACTGCCTCAGCTACCTCCTCAGTACTCTGCCTCAGCCACCTCACAACACTCGGGACCACCTCTCCACTACCCTCTCATCTCTCCCCATCACCCCCCATTACTCCCTCAGTTCTCACAGCCATCCCCATGGTTCCCCTAGCATTCTCACCCACCCCTCCAATATCTCCCTAGCACTCCCCAGTCACCTCCTAGCATTCCTCTGCCACCCCTCCCATCATTGGGTAGGTGCACAGGCAAGCAAGCAGGTCCTCAGCATTCTCCCATCATTTCCTTCCCTTACAATCCTTCAGCATCCCTACCTCCACTCCTACTCCACCCCTTCTCCAGAGCCTCCACTGCCAGCCCCATCCCTTCCCCCAAGACCCCACTGCTGTTCTGCCTCTTCCCTCCCGCAGGTTGAGGAACAGGTGTTCCGCAGCACACAGGAAGCTGAGTGGACGTGCAGCTGCCTATTTAGCACTGCACAGGCATTCTATGAAACAGCGCAGGCCAGGGACCAGTGGCATCTGGGGAAGGGCTGCCCCCCGTGGCCCAAAGTAGACTGTCATCCAACCCACTGTGGTTGATGGGATCCAGCGAGGACCCACAGGCAGTCAGTCTGGCCCCAATCCTGCTGTTGGGTTGCCAGATGATTTCAACAAAAATACCGGACACACTTGACATTGCATCACAATCTACATTACATCTTATTTAGAAAATACCGGGCATTTATATTTTCTCAATTTGTTTCCCAAACAGGAAGCTCAAATACTGGACTGTCCAGTTCAAAACCAGACACCTGGCAACCTTATCCTGCTGGGGGGTGAGAGAGCAACTCTGCCCCCAGCCCTCATCTGGCCACAACGCTCCAGCCAGTCCCCATTCGGGCCCAGTCCTCTTTGGCTGCATTGCCCCAGCTACTCTTCAGTCACAGCGGCCCAGATTCCATCTGGACGAGAAAGCCTAGCCCTGGTCCTCATCTGGCTGCAGTAGCCTGATCTTAGACTCGATCTTGCAGCAGGCCCTGGTGATGTGGTTCTGCTCTGGCTATGGCAGCCTGGCTGTGGCACTCTGCCCTGACCCCCATCTGGACACAACATCCTGGCCTCCATACAGCCCCATCCCCATCTTCCCTTCCTCCTAATACAACAGTGTCAGGTATTTGGGACCACTTTTGTATAGTGCCTAGCACAGAAGTGTCGTAGTGCATGATCAGGGCCTTTAGGCTCTATTGTCATCCAACAGTAAAGAACAAGAACCCCATTGAATGGATGTTCTTTATTTGTCTTTGCATGGGGAGCACAGTTGATCTCATACCCTTGGCTAGGGCTGGCTCCATTTCAGGACGTCCATTCAGAAAGATTGGAAATTTCCTGCAGCCACAACTGGTCACTCTGCAGGACAAATACAAACAGGCATTGGTCTGTGATTGGACAGGAGCAGAGAATTATCCCCCTGGCAAGGGAGTTACAGTAGCATCTGGAGGCCATGTCCCACCACCCCAGATACTGCTCACACATTCAGGCCAAATTCTTCCAAAGCAAGGAGTGACATCAGGTGCCTCATGTTTTAAGCATCCAACTAGTTTTGCTGTAAGGACCCTGATTTCCGGACACTGCCATCACTCTCAAATTCAGGCCCCTTTCATGTTGGGCTTCTAAAATCCTGGGACCACTAATAACAGGTATCTTTTGTAAACAGAAGTCTCCAATCCAAAGAACTTCTGGTGTTTCCCTTGTGCCAAACAGGGCCCTTTTGGCCAAGATACTAAGTACATGTGATTCCCACAGATGTCAGTGGGTTCCTGCCCTCCCCACTCTTGCCATTAGACACCACTCCCTTCTCAGAGCTGGGACTAGAACCCAGAGTCCTATATCCCACCTCACACACTGCTTTAACCCACTAGACCCTACCCCTCCACTCCCCTCTTAGAGCTCCAGATTCTCAGCCCACCTTGCTCTTATCTGAAAACCAGACCTAGACTTTTGCATAATCCAGGATTTTTGAAAAGAAATCCCAATAGCCATGTTTCCGCATTAGTCCTGATAGATAATCCTTAGCCCTTCTCTCTAAGCCTCTCAAAATGCTTTATACTAGGGATGTAACAGTGTAGTTGATTAACCGATTAACCAATAAGCAAAAGCTTATAGTTTAATGCCATAGACTAAACACATTTCCCCTCTGCCACTTGCCTATAAATTTTTCAGCAGGCTGCCCAGCTTGCACTGGGTTCAGGACCTACTCCCATTGTATCTCTGCATTTAAAGTGTATTAGGAGCCAGATGGGCAGGCAGCCTGGCTCAGTTCCAGCTTGTGTCGGGTCTGGGAGCTTAGACATCCACCCCCCTGGACAGGAGCAGCAGCACAGGGTGGCAGGCAGCCAGTTTGCGAGGGGTTCCCCTCACAGACCAGCTCCTGCCTGACACCCCGGACTGCTGCCTCTGATAGAGACACAGCAGTGTGGAATGGCAAGGGGCTCCTCAGGAGTGAGGCTGGAGTGACTAGCTGCCAACCCCATCCCCAGGGACTATAGAATAGTTGACTAACCAATAAGAATTCATGAAGTTAATCGACTATTCAATTAACCAATATTTAACATCCCTACTTTATACATATTAATACCTGTGGCCACAGCTCCCTAGATAGCTAGGTCTGTGTTATCTCCATTTTGCAGACAGGGAAGGTGAGGTAGAGAAGGAAGGCCCTGTAGAACACAGCACTGATTTATTCTGAAGGCTATGCTCCTTCTTTCAGGACACACCTCTCCTCCTTACTGGAGAACATGGCCCTTGGGTGCCATCATGTTTGGTTCTTCCCTTTTGCTCAAGCCCAGTTTTATTTCCG